TGTGAAGCCAAAAAGTCGATCGGAACAGGTATCAAAAGGTAAGGGTAGAGAGACGACGACAAATTTCGATTGACGCTTTTCGTCATTTCGTCCATGGCATGACAGGGCAGCCGTCTCTTCTCCTTTTTAAAATAAGGATCCCAAGAGGTTTTTTTTTCTCCCCAGCCAGCCCGACAGAAACCCCCCCCCCCACTACTCAACACCACCACCACCACCACTTGACCCCCTTCCTTGCCTTGCCCCCTGTCCGCGGGAGGCCCCCCTCGTGATGTCCTCGTCCGTCCTCTGCCTGCGGTGCCTATGTGATCTAAAGGGGACCCAGCAGCCCGGAGCGCGCGGCGCTCTGCGCGGCTTCTGCCGAGCCGGGCAGGGGTGCGAGGCTTGTCCACTTCTGACCTGGCGGCGGAGAGAGGCAGCACGCGAGAACGGGCTTCCTTCCTCCCTTGCTATCTATACGAGGGATTCGAGGAGGGAACATGTGATGCCTGCTGGTCAGTGCTGGGCGTGGAGATGACGAGGGGTGGGTTGGTGATGGTCCCGGCTGTCTGGTTCGTGCGCCAGGGGGGGGGGGGCAGTGGTACCAGGGGCTTGGGACCGCCGGAGAGAATGGCCGTGCTGTGGGTTTCCTACCTTCTTCTTTTTTCCCTTCTTTCTCTGTTCCTTTTGTTGATGCCCGTGGATGCTTGAGGATGGTTTTCTTTCTTGGTCTTCTTGGGGGGGGAGGGGGTTCGGGATACTTCTTGCACCGTCCCGATGTATTTGTCCCGGCTGTTCGGGTCTGTTGGCGGGACTTGGTGGCCGGCTGGTGCCGACGGCGGCAGCTGGCCATGCTGATGCGAATGACACGACCGTGACGGAGATGCCATTAAACCCAGGTATGAAAGCTGCAATCTGCTCATGAATACAATGGAGAGACGCGCTTTCTTCCATAGATTTGTCACTTGCTAAACGTACTCGATTGCTCGTTGCTGGCCACGTATCGAGAGTACAGTTTGTCTAACTGTCAAACAGCACTGTACGTCGGTGTTTTTCACAAGATCTATCATGGTCCTTGGCAGTGTTTCGGCTACCAGTGTTGTCCCCAACAGCAGTCACCAACTTGGGCATTTGAGCTTAAGTAAGATGAATCAATTGTGTGTCTTTTTTCACCTAGGATTTACATCTCTGGCTGGGTACACTACCGGAGTCTTCTCATTCTTTCGCCAGACTCTTCTCACAACTCGGAACTCTTGTGACAACACAAAGCACTGCCACAGCCATAGACTTGCCGTCTAACACCCCCACCATGAGAAACCTGCCCTCAGTTGCCGCCTCGTGGCTACCTCAGTGACTCCGTTCCCACGCTTGGCCGTCTTGAACTCCCCCGAGCGCATCTCGAAGAAACCGGTCGGCTCGGTGGGGTGGGTTCCCGCGACGTCGTGAAACGCTGTCGGGCTGATCTTGCCCTTGCGCACGAGGCTGAAGTAATCGAGTATGGACTGCCGTTCCATGTTATCGCTCTCAGATAGGGCTCGCAGCACCTTCTCAGCTTCGGCTCTCATTCGCCGTTACTGTTTGGCATTCCAACCAGGTAAGCATCGCTGCACTTACCGGGAGATGTTCTCAAATTCAATTTCCGTCCTGAGAACCTCGGACGCCGCTGTGTTCGACTACTTGCCTGCGCAGAGCATGTGACCTGCGCGCATGGGTGAGTATGGTTCAGCCTCGAGACACAACCGTGGCGCCAAGCGAGTCGAGGGCCTTGACGCGGTCCGAGGTCGGGTCCATGGTGAAGGCCGTCACCGAGTCGACTTTGCGCGGAAGGGGGTGCTTGAGCAGGAGCTCGGCGATGAGGAAGCCGGTTTGGCCCTCGGCGGCTGTGATGCAGACGTTGCGTGCCATGGTGGAAGCTGATGATGCGGGCCTCATGGGTGAATTTCGGTGGGACTTGTGAGCGTGGTGCTGTAGTGTCCAAATCATACATGAAATGCGCAGCTTTGCATGTACACCCTTCCGTGTATTAGTGTCAGAGCGTTGTTTAGAGCAGAGTGAAGGGGTCTTCCACAGGGTCCGCAGATA